CCATCCATCCATCCATCCATCCATCCATCCATCCATCCATCCATCCATCCATCAAATAATGAACAGCTCTTGCCTGATTTTCCTTTATACCTTTTCATTTTCTTTTAAAATTCATATTTTTTATCCTTCAGCGTTTTTCTTTGAAGGCTTAAACCTACCCTTCAACTCATCTTTCCTCTGAAAAACTCAATTTCTCTCCCTCTCCCCTACACCAAGAAAAAGGTCAAAACAGATATTAGACATTCAACAGCTGCCTTCCCCTCTGGACATCTCATTAAGGAGCAGTGGAGCACACACATTAAATAGTAGGAATAGTGATGCTGAGGCATACACAAAATAAGCAGAACTAAAAGATGAGCTAGATAGATAAGAGAGGGTGTTAAAAACGATTAGCTTTAATCCCTCTAATTTAATAGAAAGTAGTTACCTAAATATTTGTCTACCCTCCAATTTACACTTGTTTAATTTGAAAATCAGAAAATTAGACTCCTCACCTACCAGATTAGAAGAAATGAGCAACATAAATTCCTGCCTTCACTTCATGCACTCTGGTTTTTCCCAAATTACCCAAAGCTCCTTGGTTCAGAGGCTGTAAAAGATATATACTGAAAGTGTTTTCTTCTTAGGAGATGGAGGTCTAAAATTACAGTTCAAAGGGAGGCTTGAATACATCCATAATTGCCACCTGAGTAATCCCTGTGTTTATGTACCTTAGAGTCTTTTTGTCTAACCTAGTTTTACTAAAAGTGCTGAGAAAAATGAACACTGAACTACTGCTTTAGCATTTTCAAAGAACATGCACCAAATAAATTTTGTATCTGCACTATTGTTTATTGTTTTTAAAAGGACATGTATGAAGTTACACTACCCTTTAACATTATCGCTTGTGGAAACCTAATGTTCAGATATAACATGGAGAAAAAAATGGCAAAAGAGAAAGAGCATTTGTAATTGATTTACTTTTAAAACAATGATGTTAGTTTTAAAATGCAGCCTTTAAACAGTTAACTTACTCGCATTCCAAAATAAAAAAAATTTGGTTTCCACATTTTTCAATCTGTTTTTCATTGGGATATTTTTTTGGAGGACATTGCAAAATAGTATTACTATCATATGAAAAGTAATTCTCAACATTCATAAAAACAAATTAGCAAAATAATTTAAAGTAGCTCTGAGTCAATAAATCCCTTTTCCAACTAGAACCCTCACTGCATACCAAAATGCTGACATTTTATAAGAGTTAACATTTTTGGTAACAGTAAAAAACATTTAAAAGTCAATTATTAATAAGTATATATATTTTTCATCAGGTTAACATCACAGATAATCATGAAGTCAACTACTGTAGTTAAAAAATACGTATTAAGCATGAACTATAATCTCATTCAGTTTTAAATTATTTTCTAAAACTGTAAAGTACATCCATCAGTTTTGGTTCTGTTAACTTTTGTGTAATTGGGCTGAAAAACCTGACTTTATATGTCCTGTCACAAGGCATGTGCTGGTAACTTTTTTAATTAGCTGTGTAAAAGATTACTCTAAAGGTTTGACATCACGTTTTATCAGTGGGATACCAAAGGAACCCTGTCACAGAGTTGCCTAAGTTTCCCTCGCTGTATGAAGCACAGATTAATGCATTACCAAGCCTGTTGCAGTGATCCCTGATTAAATAAAATTAAAGAAATTTCCCAAGTTTCTCTAATACAAGAAGTTGCAACAGACAAATAATTAAAACATAAAAAGGGCCACCTACCACTCAATTTAAAACAGCACAGCTTCAAAACTACATTAGCAAATTTTGTCTACATATCTGTTAAGCATTTGGATAAAGAATTCACATACTGTTATATTTTTTATCTAAGATTTTAGCACCTTTTAAGATATCAAAAAGACCACACTGAAATAGCTCTAAGCAACTTCCCGTTGGTACAAGTAGATAAATGTCGCTGCAGTCATGAACCCAAATTTGTTTATATATATATATATATATATATTTTTTTTTTTTTGTTAATAATCACTTAAAATCAATTCTCAATTCTGGTTTAAAACATCCAGTCGACATGAACAGAATGAAAACCCTTGTACCATACCTAAATTTTAAAATAAATGATATGCCAAAAAGATTTTCTTTTTGAAGTATAAGGCCCTTTTTAAGGTAAAATTCTCCCCATATTAAACTATAAAATAGTTTTTTTTTTATTCCTGGTTTACAACTTACAAATTATTGAAACTGCTGTATCATACTAAGTAGATTTAGCTAGGCGTTGTGGTAAGACTGCGGAGTCAGTAAATTAAATGCAAGCCTGGACACTAAGCTACAGCCTACTGACGCTCATACACATGCTTAGCTGTGCAATAGCTTTAGTGGCAGCAATATTGATGGCTGTTCTAAAACAAGATCTCGTTTCTGGTATCAAGGCGATCTCCAATAAGCTGCCAAGAAACTTGAATGATGCGAATTCAAATCATATGGATCTGTGTCCAAAGGCACAAAAATATTACAAAGCAAAGAGTGTCTTTTTATCTCTGCTGGACTGAGTGTATCTCCCTGCAGGGCTTTTCAAAGTATAACAATCCATTATTTGGCAAGTCTGACGGACTAAATATCCAAGCACTCAGGCTGCTTGAATGTTATAGGTTTGTGTTTAAAGTTTTTAGATTTTCTGCAGTCAACGTTAAAGGTCAAATATTTGTAAAGACTGTGCGGTTTCAGAACTGTTAACTCAATACCCTGTGCAATTAAGGTAAAAGCCTTAAGTTAACGGGTAGTATATGCAAATAAAGATGTGGCTATGAAGGTGATTTAAAATGCACATGACATGATATTCACTGGTCCAGTGGGCTAAACACAAAATGGAGAACAGATGAAAAAGAAATAAGAAAAAAATGTATTAACATTATAACATCTGCAAAGTGTGGAACACATAAAAACAGTCAAATGTGCATAGTGATGCCACTTCAGAAACTCTAAACTTGCTGTTCTCTTATTTTATTCACGTCTCTACTGATCCGTCTATTGTTAGCCCTCCTGATGAGAAGCAGGTATGTCAGCAAAGATAAAATTAACAAAACTTTCCCTCAAAGATAATATTTTTTTTTCTCATCGCTCTTGTTGCCAGATTTTGTGGCATCAGTCTTGCATCCATCTATCAGTCAATAGAACCTCATCCTTATGCTTCTGAACTGAGCTTCATCCATGTCCAACATCTTTAAAGAATTCACACAATACTGCCTATGATGTTGTCTGTTTGAGTTTGTTTGAATCGACGGTTGTGTGCAAATATAAGTGTTAGAGCCCATGAGGCATGTATTAGGAATGTTTATCATTCCATAATGATAGGATCCAACTGCAGCCTGTTTCCTGGTGCTCTGTACTTGCCAGAACATGCATCAAAGAGTCATGACACAGGTTGGGCAGGGATGTCAGTCATTATGATAGCTCTACCCTTAGGTATAGAGAAAAAAAGGATGATGTATGAAAATTACGACCTCACCTAAAACGCATGTGGCATTACTGACTAAGCATGTAGGCAGTTATTTATACATTATGTTGTTTTGTTAGCTGTAAGTCTGAAGAGAAAACCTTTTTTTGTTTTTGTTTTATTGGATACCTTTGTTATGTTTACAACTGAAACTGAAAGAAATAACTACTGCAACATATGAAATGTTCAGAATGACTACCTATTGATGGACAAGACTTGTCAACTCTCATTAAATTCTTTGAGTGCACATGCATTAGTTAGAGACCATCCAAATTCCACACCTATTTCCAACCATGACTAACTGGCTTATGTGGAATTATTGCCTCTTGTTGCTATAGAGTTCAAAGGAAACATAAAAAAAAATAAAAAAATACAGTGTTTACTCAAGATATTTTATCTTCAGATAAAAACCCTCATTATTGTCAAAGAGATACACAGCAATCTGTCTGCATACCAGCACAAGCACATCCAAATCAGCCACCCCATGCACAAATAAACACCCACAATTGCATAGACACTTGTCTCCTACTCTCAGAAACACTCCCATAAAAAAAAGAAATACATTCCATAACCATTCCTGTACCAGTATAGCACGAGAGAAAGCCACATTATGGTTTGTCAGCCACCATAGCAGAGAGACCAAAACAAATGAAGGATGCTCCTGAAGCATCAGTTGTAAATGAAGATAACACTATATATATATATATATATATATATATATATATATATATATATATATATATATATATACTTATTTATTAGAAAAGTAGAGTTGAAATCTGTTAGCTGCCAAATTTGCACAGCAGACATCTACACATCAGACATCAATTTTCTGAGTCTTTTACAAGCAGCATTGTACCTAGCTATTAGCGTTGCAACTGATAATTAAATGTATTTCTTTTCCTTAAGTGTTTTAGCTACCCTTTTCTGAAGTGCACTCTTGGTGTAGAGCCATATAATCCTAATAAAAAACTGCTATTGGCTTACAGGTATTATAGAGCTGCAAAGTGCAACCTCATAGAAATTACGTTGCACAGCACAGCTGGGCCATCTAGTCTATATAAAGTTGTCATGTCAACAATAAACAGAAACTTCTTTTAAGGTGCAACTAACACCTGGAATAATTTTTTTGAAGTGTCTGTTTATCCCCCAACTGAAGGGCTTCCAGGTTGGAAAACCATTTGGTCCACATCAGAAAACGTATAAATACTAATTTAAAATAGAAATAATTTTGGAAAATGTTTTGCAAAAACAGAACTTTATTTATCATCCTAATTTAATATCAAGAACTAGTTAAAACTAGTAACAGCAGCCTTTTGTAAAACTATGCTATGTTGCACCCACCCTATTCTCAGTTTGCACTCTGAGGGAACTACAATAAAAAATATATTCTCAAAATTTAACTTTTTTTTTCTTAATTTTTGACAGCATACATGTTATGTACTATGTATTTTTTTTTTTTATACTTCAGGCGATTAAAAAAGGAAAGATAAACAGACACAGAATGTGTATTTTTACCTTTGTGGGAGAGCCGTATCCTTGGGTATATGCTGTTTGCAGTGGGAGCCATTCCCAGGAAAATAAGACATAGCAGCATCATTGACTGATTTACAGATTGCATCCATCCTGCCATGATCTCTAATACTAACATTCTATAGTCATTAGGTTAAAATGCTGAAAGTCCACACAGCATGAGCAGCAAAGTATAAGAGAGGTTGAAACTCCACAGGTATTTTAATGTATTTCCACCCAGAGGATAGTCCTCAGTATTGAAGAATAATTTATTTCAAGCTAGCAGAGCATTATCTCTGAGTTATCACAATGCCGATAAGCTATACAGGCAGTCTGTATGCAGTGACTGCTTTCCCCTATAGCAGTCTGTTGAAAGCTGCATCCACCCACAACCTTTGGTGGAAATGAAAGTGCTTTGGCTATTATCCTTGCTTGGTCTTAGCAACCACAGATAGAAGTCCAGTTGCTACATTCACGCCGCAGTGCTCACTGCTTTCTGTCCATATGTTAGTCCGTCTGTTTTTATTAGCTGTCAGCAAATGCAGCGTTTGCTCCACTGTTTCTGATGTAGTGAAGAAAAAAAAAAGTGGAAAAATGACAAGCCAGTCTACGAATCCCAAAATGGTGTTAAATATGCTGATTTGTAGAATCCCAGCCTGCAGAGTAAAAGCTGCTGTTCTGTCTTCGGTGTGTGATCCTCTTCTCAGGTCCACTGGGGCCAGTCATTCTCTGGACAAGAGCCCAGTAAAAGACAGAGTGGTAGAGGGGAGGAGTAGGGAGCCTCGTGCCTGGCGTGCAGTCTCTCAGCAAAGTGAAGCTTCAGCTCTTAAGTCTGTTGACATTCAAATAATCGGGGGAGGATCAAAACCTTGGTTAGTCAGGTAAGATGGTTTCTACCAAATATGCATATCTCATGCTACCTGTCACAGTGTGGTGTGAGCGGAGAAGAACCTGTGGGAGTAAAGTTACTGATAATGTTGGGAGTTTTCTATCAGTCAGGCGGGATAGGAATCTTTGTCTTCCTCGAGACTGTCTTGAGATCTCATTCCCTCCAGGGCGGCTGTATGCATTGAGGTCTTCTCCCATTCTGAGAGACTTTCCCCTCCTCTTAGAAACACTGCCTCCCATTTCAGTCCACAGACCACCCCTCCTCTCCTCTCCTCTCCTCTCCTCTCCTCTCCTCT